GACGTGAACTAAGGGAATTAATAGTAAATTATAGCATACTGCATAATTTTTATCCTATGTAGCTGTGAGGAACAAAGTTTTCAAAACGATGGATATTTGTCAAAAAGTAATTTGGATTGTACTGATTATTCTTTCTTTGGGAATAACCAGTCAGCTTAGCTGCTTGGTGAAGTGCCTGAAGGAAGAATTATACTATGAACACATAGGAAAACATCTGGTTTTTGTTCCGTAGGATGGTACGAACTTAAGGAAAATAAACACTTTAGGTTTTTAGGTTCAAATGCTGAAAAGAGAAGAGCAGAGAGAGCAAATCCTCATGACGGGCTTCTCAGCATTATTATGTTGTCCACCAGGAGGTCATTTTCACTCACAGTGAACTCTTCAAGACTTAAGATCTTGGCCTTGTGCAAGTATACCTTTTCTGGCCTGGCAGCTGGCTTCATAGCCTAGCTCCACTTGTAATCGTTTTCAAATTCTCCTTCCCAGACATTTTCAGACATCAATCGAACTCCCAAAGGAAGACAGCTTTTATATTTATAGTGGACACACCTCTGAGTTTAATCAGATGGCTAGCCATCACTGACTGCTTATTTCAAGTTTCCTGAGAAACAAATGAATAACCACCACATTTCTTGGTAATTCTGGACTCAGAGCAGACAGATGTCTTTAGTTCTGGGTATTGTTGATGTACACTTTTACCAAAGCTGCAGTGGCCTGGTGCATCACTGTCTCTTGCACAGAGGTCTGTTTCCCAGGTGATGGGAGGTTGGGTCTCTTCCTCAGCCGAGTTAGAGATAAGTGGAACAGAATCTGTGGCATGTCGTCCTCAGTTGTGGATGTGTCTGGACTTCACACTTGGCCAGAACCTTTCTTTTGGCTCTCGGATATTATATTAATCACCCTTCATTCAATTTTACAGTTATTGAGTGATCTGATAGTGGTTAGTGAGAAATGACAATCTCCTGAATTTGTTACAGGAATAATAACATCCTTACCAGGGGTGAGAAGATAATGTAACAAAGATAATACTAATATTGACAGCTAACATTTATTGAGCGTTTCAATAGTTAGTCACACTGTTTTGAAAACCTTCTCACCCAATCTCATAACAATAACAACATTATTATTACTTTCCTTTTACAGATGGGGATATTAAAGTATAAAGACAAAGATAAATAAGACAGTGTCTGGCACTTAGAAGGTTCACACTTTAGGTTAGTAGTGAAGTTGGTACACAAATGATTAACAGAATGCTTGCTGAAGTGTAAAGAGATGAAGGAAAGTCTCAGAAAGAAGAATGTCTATTTGGTTTTGAGTTAATCTAAGGAGAAAGGCATTTCAGGCAAAGGACAATTAACAGAGACATAGGAACATAATGAGGTATGGTATCTATTGATGACTACAAGTACTTCATAGTGATTGGAAAATGGTATATGATGGAGAGATGGCAGCAGTTAAACCCCAAAAGATAAGCAGGAAATCTGGTGTAGCATTTTGTGGGAAGAGTTTATGATAAGGAATAAAGTGATGTCATAGGCTGTGGAGAGCATTTAACAAGAAAAACCTGGAGCTGGGGAGGAGGCTCAGAAGGTAAAGTACTTGCTGCTCATGAATGAGGACCTGAGTTAGGATCCCCAAAACCCATGTAAAAGTTGGGTGTGGTGGCATTTGTCTATAACCTCAGTACTATATGGTAGAGAGAGATGGAACCCAGAGGCCTGCTGGTAAGCCAGTTTAACTGAAACAGTGACATCCAGGTTCACTGAGATACCCTGTCTCAAAAAAAAATTAATGTGACAAGCAAGAGAAAAACAGCCAAAGTCAACCTCTAACCATCATGTCCTCCACATTGGCAAGTACACCAGCATATACATCTATTCACATATATACAACATGCATACATGTCCATGGGTGAAAAAAAGCCTTCACCAACTTTATCCAGAGTTCTTTAGGGAGGGGAGCATATGATGCTAGATGGTAAGATGGTGATTCTGCAAAGGAGTGTTGAGTGATGTGGTGGGATCAACTAAAGCAGCAATAAATGAGAAGCTGATGTCAACTGTGCATGTAGAAAAAGAGCCAAGCTGGCCAGTGAAGATAGTGTATTGTGATTGTAAACCTTGGATATAAGTAAGAAAGTCCTTCACATTATATACACATACTTTAAAAACTTTTGTAAAAATTGTATTTATTTATTTGTGTATGGAGGTCAGAAGATGTCTTGCAGGAGGTGGCTCTCTTCTTCCACCATGTGGGCTCCAGGGATCTTTCTCAAGATGGTGAGGTTTGGCCCCGAACACCTTTACCCACTGAGCAATCTCTCCAGTCTCAATATTATTTACTGTTTCATCTGGCCATTTATCTTCACAATTTTTAGCCTAAAAGCAATAAAGGTGTGTAGTTTTAGCAGGTTATACTTTACTAATATTCCTAGGCTTCTTATGGTTTTATTTTTCAAGCAGTTACCTATACAGAAATCAATAAATGCTGAGCATGGTAGCATAGTCTTATAATCCCAGCACTAGTGAGTTCAAGGGCAGCCTGAGTTACACAAGACTGTTTTAAACAAACAAAAGCAAGCAGGTAATCAAATAAACTGTTTTGTGTATATATAAAATATCAGTGGCATGCAGAATTTCTAGGTATATTTGACATAATAGTTACTATATTATAGAATGCTCATAAATACTTGGTAGAGTTTTGTTCATGAGGAATACATCAGTTGCTGCCTCTTAATAAAATTTGGTTGTTTTTAATAACATTATTGCACAGGGAAAACATTACTAAGGCTTCCACTGTTTCTACATTTTATGAAGCAAGTATTCCCTTAAAGAAAAAAATCCCACATATTTCATTATCATTATCAATTATTTTTCCATTTTTTAATTAACCCTTGAAAATTATTTTATAAAGAACACATTATATGTTGTCACATAAGGAAGTCAAAAATAGCCCTATTCTCAATTATTTATGGTGTCCTGAAGATATAGGAATAATAACAGAATTAAATTAAATAGCAAGTAATAAGTAGACAAATATTTCTGGCTTTAAATGAAGCTCAAATTAGTTTAAATTGGAATAATATATGTGTGAATATATAGTGTTCAGGGGTGGCTCAATGGGCAAGAGTACAAACAGGAAGACATGAGCTTTGATCCTATCATCCATATTTAAGGAGCAAAACAACCAAATCATTGGGTGTGGCCTCGTGTGAGTCTGTAAAGCCAGCATTGTTGAAACAGGAAGATTACTGGAGCTTGTTGACTGCCAGCCTAGCTCAAAGTTCAGTGAGAAACCCTGCCTAAAAGGAACAAAGAGTAATAAAGTGAGAAACCCAACACACCCTCTGGTCTTCATGTGCCCACCCACACATTCATGCACATACACCACATTCACACACATACAAATAAATGACATGTAAATTATATGTGTATATGAATGTGCATGTCTATATCATAAATACATATGTAGTACAACTAATTCTTTATATGCCTGAGCATGTTTATTTAAAAATCAGTGATGCCCACTTGAACACAGGAACATCGGAGGGCAACTAAACAACAAGAAGTGAGTGAAGCAGTCCCAATCCAAACATCATATTTGAGATACAGAAAATAGTAGAGAAGCACGAAGATGTTTTCATGGACACCCAGTATTCTCATTTAGTGCTTAAAGACAGGGCAAGGGAAGCAAAACAATTTTCTCCTCTGTGAAGTTTTTAACACTCTGTTTATTATATTTATCAAAGTGATATTTTAATTTCCTAAGAGGTTCTAACTTGGTCTCTGACTTGGTTTCATGGTGAGTGAGTAGGGACGCAGAAGGACTGTGGTCTCTCTTACAGCTACTTTTACTTGCAAGCTATTTATAGCTTGCAGTTCTAATGACATGTGCAACATCTATGTTCCCCGCAAAGGAGTTTCATGAAGGCAAGGCCTCTGTTGGTTGGCGTTAGTTTTTTGTTTGTTTGTTTGTTTTAAATTTTTGATTCTTTAGTATCGGGTATAGACTCTGGCATAAGGGACTTATCAAATTTATACTGGTTTGATAACAGAGATTTAGAAGTTACTCTTCTGAGATCAGTATATGACATGGGTCGTGTTGGCATGACTACCAAGATATACCAACTGTGGTCTGTTATGTTCACAGTTGCTCATCAATCTGTGGAGGTAACAATAAATCATCTGGGGTAATCAACTAGCAATAACCAACTTACATCCTTTTACCTCTCAGAAATAAAATGAAAAGAGAGTCCTTCATAGCAGTGAACTCTCCCCTGTCCATTAATAGGACACTCAGTCATCAGGAAAGGTCCTTGTGGCCCATGCTAATAAAACTGTGCTATAATGATTGCAGAATTGCTGCTTTATCCCAATATCTAAAGTGTTGCAGTTCCAGGGCTGATGAAAAGAACTAAGTGATTTCCTGAAGGAGAAACACAGAAACACACACACACACACACACACACACACACACACACACACACACAAAATTTTAGCCTGAAGAATAAAGTCTGGCAAGAATCTATGAAATGAAGATTTGGAGTGATCAAGGTAATCTTGATTTTTTTTAATTTAATTCTTATAATCAGTCAGCACTTGTCACCCTTTAACAGCCAAATTTATCTTTCATTTTATTAGCACTAAAAATATGAAAATCTTACTTTAACCACTCTGAATCCAGAGACTTATCAACACTTGGAAATCTGCAAATATCCGATTGTCAATGTTTATTAATCTTCTGGCAGATTTGTCATTCATTACAAGTAGAGGAAATTAATTAATTAATTACTTTGAAGGCCAGGCTCATCCAGACTCCTAGCCATTCTAATACCTTAGCCTCTCAAGTGCTGCCCGCACTCACTAGTATGAATTGCCACACTCACCAGTGTGAACTGCTACTCTCAGCTAAACACAGTGGTTTGAATTGCAGCATTTGCTAAAGTAAAACATGTGTGTGGTAAGCTGCTGTGTCACAGACATATCTACTTTCGTTTCCAGGAATCTCCGGCTGCCCCTTTTTCCTCTGGGGACTTCTAGCCTTCTTTGGTTTGGCTCTGGTTATATCGTTAATCTTCAATATTTCCCACTATGTAGAGAAGCAGCAACAAGGTAAGACCTTCTGGAAAATTGTTCTATGGTACCTGCTCGAATGCAGACTCTATCACCACTGGCAAATCTCCGGAGTAGATACTGTTATGAAATGCCATTAATAGTGTATTGTAACCATGGGAAATCCATGTGGCACTGTTTTCACCCTGAGGGATCTCTTTAAGAATGAAATAACATTAGAGATGTGAGAAGAAGCTCCCAAACTTAGCTTTCTCCCTGTCTCAGGAGTGACAGCTGGAAGGAATTATTCTGGTAAGCAGGTTTTTCTAAATGAACAAATCGGGAACTGGAGATCTTTTGAGACAGTGACAAAGGTAAAGAGTTGCTCCCCAAGGCTGGACTGAAGTTATTCGGTCCCCTCAGGCTCTGGCCACAGGACTCAGCCCTGACTGGAAAAGCCACAGACTGAACCTGGGCCTGTTACAATACAGCAGGTCGGGAACAGGTCAGTGGATCTGTCACTCCCACTCTTAGCTTTGTCTGTTTTAGCTGGGTGGCTTTGACCTACACATGCCATAGATAAAATGGTATCATGTGCACAGTGGGCACCTGGCCCATGTGCACTGAATACATGGATCATTGTGCAATAGAACCAAAGCGCAACTATTTCTGGGAGGTGCTTTAATATTTGAAGGACAGAGAAACTTCAGCTAAAGCTGTAAGTGGTCGGGAAAGATTTTTTTTTTTTAAAGTGCTTTTTCCAAACTCACGAAAAGAGCTAGAACTAAGTTATCAAAGTGGAGTTAAACAGAGCACATATGTCTAAGAAAACCTGCATGAAGTGAATGTAAATGCTGATCGAATTGTAGAGCGTGTGTCCTTGGTCCACTTAGAAGCTTCCTAAGTGTTGATAATGTGTGGAGAAGTCATCGTCATGCAAATTTTAAAAACTGAGGGTACTTAAGAATGAGTGACGTCGCTGAGGTCACATAGCAATCCAATATCAAAATCATGCCTGAGTGGCCAAGGAGGACATATACTAGTTTTTCACATTTCAATGTGAATAGCTTTTATAATTTTCACTTTTGGTGCTTCACACATTAGATTTTATTTGTCCATATCCAGATCATTTTCCATCATACACACAGAGGCAGTCCCTTTGCATTTACTTTTGCATGTTAGGTTTGATTTATTTAAAAAAAAAAAAAACGCATACAAGCTATAATTGTCTCAGCCTTACCAGAAATGGCTCTATTTTTTTTTAAAGTAGTGCGGTGGAAAAAACATTTTTGAAAATAGGAAATAATAAATTAAGCGTATGATGTCTTTCTTTTGCTTAATGCCAGCCATTCGATTTTTAACAGCCTAGCTCTTTAAGAAAATCAAATCTGACGGGAATTAAAATTCACTCTGATTTTAGGTTTCAGCTGTCAGATTTTGTGCAAGTAGCAGCTTCTGAGTCTCAGTTTCCATTTTACAGCAAATGGAAAACACCATGCAGAACATCAGGGTCTAGTGAGAAAAAGAAAACCTGCGTGTGTCTTAGCACAGCGCTGGGACTCAGCAGGTTGGTTGTGCACCTGGTATAGTCCACATCACAAGCCTCGGGGACCTGGCGCTTCTTGCCCTCTTCCCACAGTAATTACTTCGCCCACAGTAATCACCGAGGGCCTTCTGTGGCCCACATCAGTTCATTTAACTTTAGTATGTTATTTCAGTAGGCATCAGCTTCTCAGCCTCTTTGCCGCTCCAACCATGTCTGTGCCCTGTAGATCCTCCGTAGCTCCTGGCTAACCTCCTGTCGCCATATTTATATTAGTTAACAAGTTAACAACATCCGGGGCTTTAGCGGTCCCTGCTATGCTCCCGCGAGTCATTTCAACTCCATTTCAGTGGGTGTTTTGAGGCTTCAGTGGGATTGGGTCCAGACATCAGTGCATCTCAGGTCATTTCATTTGATATACACTTCTTAGGAGGAACCCAATGTATTGACTGATGTGCAAACGTAAGATGATCAGCCTTAGAGAAGCTTCACCAGGGCTCTACAAGTGCCAGTTGCTCTCATTCACCTCCCCGACTGCCCAACCCTTCCCAACAGTTTTCCTCAAGTGTGGCTATCTACCCTGCCATCTTTTCCAAATCACAGGAACAAATAACACTATCCTTCTGTTCCCGAGACTACAGGCAGCTGGAACTGTCTCTGCGAATGCTCAGTTCCTTCCTAACGCTGAAGACTTAGGCTTGCTCTGTTTCTTTGGCAAGGCAGGTTAGAAGAGATTTTTGTCACATCAGCCAGCTTTCTCCCACGTGGTCTGTAAATGGAATGCTCCTGCTCCTGGCCTCCCGTCACTTTTATGTCGGCATCTTTGTGCTACTCTTTGTGGCTGAGAAACTTGCAAGATATGAATCCTCCTTGGCCAACAGTCAGTGAAGAAACTTTGGGGGTGTATTAAATAGCTTACAAAAGGAACTCTCCTTCCAGCCACAGTGTAATATCTACATATTCAATCAGATAGACATGACAAGCCTTGTCTTGATGCTTTCTGTAGCAGCTCGCTAGAAGCTTTGAAAATGAGCCCTCTCTCTGCTTTCCAACATAAATCTTTATTTTTATTCAATGTGCTGTCCAAATCTTTAGGAGGAGTATATTAATTTCTTTTCCTGATAATGTCTTTTCTTCTATTAAATCCAAAGAATATATATATAATTAGGTTTTTTGAGACAGGGTTTCTCTGTGTAGCTTTGTGCCTTTTCTGGATCTCGCTCTGTAGACCAGGCTCGCCTCGAACTCACAGAGATCCACCTTCCTCTGTCTCCCGAGTGCTGGGATTAAAGGCGTGCCCCACCACCGCCCGGCCAAAGAATATTATTTATTCGACTCTTTCTCTTTGATTTGAGAGATTTCTTCTTCTCACTAGACTGTGGCACGTTTTTGACTGAAATGCATCAGAAGAAAGAATTCAGTGTTAGAGTTCCGGCCATGTGCTGCTGTTTCTTGCTGTAACAGAGTGTGCAGAGAGGAGTGGACACCCTCAAGGGGAAGCATAAAAGCAAGTGTCTTTGCCTTGCAGCCTCTCACATACACACCAACCACAAGCCTTGCATCTTTATCACAGGGGAGGGTGGGGGAACCTCACCCAGCTCTTCTCACTCATGATCTTGCACACTTTGCTGCTCTGTAGCAGAGCACAGTTTGCAATTCAGCCACATAGCACTGAGATGACTAGGCAGCATTTAAATCATGCCATTTATTCATAAATAAAACTTCTGAGCCTCTGTGACAGGGAAGGTCTTTGCAGGAGCCTGAGCTTGCTCACCTTCATGCTTAGCAAGAGATCATTGGCTGTTAACCTGCTTAGAAAGGACTGTAAAACTAAAATTACCCAAGTAATGAGGGCTAGCTAGCATCCAAATACACATTTATTTTTTTAAGGCTAGTGCAGCATGCGGTGTCCTTGGACTTTTAAAGTCTTCTTTCACAGCGCTTCTTCTGCAGTTGGTATGATGTATAATATCCCATATTCATTTATTTTCTTTTGTTAGTTTGTATTGTTTCAAACATCTTTCATCCTATTTAAGGACCCTGTGCTATTATATAATATCTTGATCATAGATGCTTTTATTCAACTTTTCTCACAGAACTTTATAGTGTTATATTTTCTTTTTTATTCTAGGGATGATACATTCAACTATATTTCTCTACTCTAGAGTTACTCTTTCAAACATTACAAGAGTATGTTTTCCAGGCACCAAAATTCATATTATAATTATTTTTACCAAAAAGTATTTATTTTATAAAATATATTTGTCAGTTTGAGAAAATATTTTGTGGGACACCTATTCTTATTACTAAATGACATTCTTTTGTTTTAGTTTAATTTTGTGAATAGGTTTCATGTGCCTCAGGCTGGTGTCAAACTCACTGTGTAGTAGAGGATGACCTTGAACTTCTGTTTCCCCTATTTTGATCTTCAAAATGCTGGGATAAGAGACACGCAGCACCATGACCAGTTCATGCGGTGCTGGGGATCCACCTGAGAGCTTTGTGTGTGCTAGCCAAGCACTCTACGGATGGAGCTACATAGCCCAATGTGCTTTTTTTTTAATTAAAAAATATTCTTTATTTTTATTCTCAAATTTTTATTATAAGCAAAGATGTTTAACTGGTGGCAATATCCTCTCTGTAATGGTGAAATTTCAGTGATTTCCTTCAAAGTCAAACTTTAATTATCATTATATTTCACTTTATTAACTGAATAATATAAGTCTATTTCCAGTTAACTCATTTACGAAGAAACTTTACAATTCAATGAGCACAGATTGTGGTTTATATAATATGGATTTAGACCACATGATATTGATAAGTAGCTTTGTCATTTATAAAATGCCCTGACATTGTTTTAATTATTTTCCCATATCCACTCCAAGAAGCTGGTCTAGGTTTTGCTATTCGGTTCTACAGATGAATTGATCAGCATAGCTTTTGAATAATTTTTATACTGTCACATAGCAAGTGTCCTGCAGAACTGACACCCAATCCAATATTAGCTAATTCCCAACCATGGATATGTTCCATGAAACATCATCCTAGATTTTATATTCTTATAGATGTACTTAAAATTCTAAGCACATTAGTTACTTTTCTGTTGCTGTGAAAACATCATTATCAAGACAACTTCTAAATAAAGGAATTAGGCTTATGGTTCCAGAGGAATACAAGTCTGTCATAGTGGGAGGCCAGGGTCATGGTAGCCCAAGCAAGAAGTTGAGAGCCTACATCTTCAAAGTCAGGCACAAAGCAGAGAGAGGGCTAGCTGGAAATAGGTAATGGTTTTTAACTCTCAAAGCCCATCCCTGGTGACATACTTCCTCTAGCGATGCTGCATCTCCCAACCACCTCAAACATTGTGACCAGCTGGATACCAAGTAGTCAAATGCCCAAGACTTTGGGGGACATTTCTCCTTTAAAGCACAACACCAAGGAAACCTTAAAAGTTCCTAGTGATCTGAGTGTCAGTGGTTCCTTTTTCTAAGTATAGAAATAAATACATGCTATGTCATACTTTTTCACACTTTATAATTTTCTGACCATTTTTTCTCCTTGTATTTATTGATATGAGTTATTTTTCTCATGTTTTCTGACTTTACTACACTTTCATTAACTCGGGACTATTGTGATGTGTCGTTTTTGATCTTTCTAGGTTCCCTCCAGGGTTCATCAGTATTCATGTTCAAAAGACTAATCAGAAAGCAGCTGAAAGTAACTTCATATTTTATATGAAGTTTCTTGGTAGGACATTTACTAAAAGAACAATCATATTTCTGACATCCTAAATGGATTACTTCCATCATTTTGGGTTCTGTGGCAGCTTAAAAGACAGGTTCTGCAAGAACATCCCTCGTTTGGTTGTCCTCAGAGTTCCTCCCCATCACTGACATGAAACATGCCCATTTCTTACTTTCATAAACACTTCAGCTAATTGTTCTGAAATAGTCAGCATCCTCTCTGGAGACAAAGTCTACACTATCACATGTTCACCGAAAAGTATCTTTCCCAGTTGTTTGGTGAACGGCTCAGTTATTTTACATGGTCCTTGCTAGTGCTTTCCTGGGTCACAGTGTTTTCTACACATTAAAGTTGTGAGACCATTTAGTTTCTGATGTCAGAAACTGAGAGGGTACCTGTCTTTATTTTTATAGAATAACTCCAACAAAAGTTCAATTTTTGTTCTATGCCTCATTAGTAGTAGGAAATTCAAATATGGTAAATGTCATATTGCATATATCTTTCTAGTTTAGTATATAAGTCATTGATGAAGAAACAATAAAATCTCTAAAATAAAGTTGATATTAAGCATCAAAACTGTACCTTGACTATCTCTAAGTCCATTAATTTCAATAATTTAGTATGAATCTATTACTTTCATAAAGCAATCCTCAAAAACTATATTTACCCATCTCTTTTAAATAAACAGATGCATTTAGCAAGCTATTTGTCTTTGAGCTACCACCCTCAAGATTCATTTTGAGCTATTATTATTATTATTATTGTCATTGCTGTTGCTGTTGTTGTTGTTAGAAAGGTCTATTAGAACCAACACAACCAAAAACAGAAGTAACAGTAAAACCCAGAAGTGTCAGTGGGATTCAAAGGCAGAAACTATTTTCATGTTCCACAACAGCCAGGAACGAGGGTTATAGGCATAAAAGTCTCAGATTTTCCTCATTGCTTTCTATGCACAAAATAGTCATGCATCTGGTTCAATACTATGCTCAAGCTGTCTTGTTTTCATCTCAAAATATCAGACATAATTTGATGGGCTCAGAAAGGAAGATGTCTCTATCCACTATATTACTACCACAAAACACCAAAGGCAGTTAATTTTGTAAAGAAAAATGTTTTATTTAGCTTACAGTTCTAGAAAATTCAAAGTCTGAACAATTATAGCATAGGCTCTACCCCTTGACTACGTCACCTCATATCAGATTGTAATGGCAAGGGTACATGTTAGAGTAATTGATCACGTCTTCAGCCAGGAGACAGAGAGGAGCAGCCAGTTTTGTCCCTGTTTATGACTATCTTCCAAGAATTACCAAGCATTCACATGAGAACATGATTAATCCCTTCTGGCAGCAACATTCAGGGTGATTAAAGGATTTTCCCTTAGATTCCACTCTTATAAGTTCCAGTGCACTCTGTGATACTGTTATCCTGAGGAGTAAACATTAGCACAGGGACCCCTTGGAGACTCCCAAATCACCTCCAAATCCTATCGTCCCCAGTTCAATTAGTAGTAGCTGCTGTGGCTTGACCAGATTTGTTAATTTACACCAAGGCTTAGCTCCCCTCAGAAGACTTCGTGAAATATTTTTAAATGTGTAAACATTTCTTTTAATTTGTATATTTTTAATATTTTTCAGACAAAATGTACAGATACTGTGATGACTACATTCCAAGGTATGTTAAAACTGAACAATGCATTATAATTTCCAACTAATAAGGAAAGTAACAGTGCTATATAGCAATATGTGGCTTTGCCTCAGAAATGTTACCACATGATCTAAAAGAAAACGAAAAGTAAATTATAATTACTTGACTCTCATCTGAAAATTGGAAGCCATAACATTATCATCCAGTTATAAATATATCAACCTAATCAAAGAGCTGAGTGAAGAGTAAAAAGACAGTCTAATGTGATATCTATAAAACTCTCATTAATATCTGATACAGATATCTATATTATAACTAAGATAACACTTTAAAGATTACAGTCTAATTTTATATAACATTATATAATGTTTCAGAATGTAGAGTAGAAGGAAGTCCATAAAACATCATAAGACTTAAGATAAGTCACAAGGCATGATGGCTCATGCCAGTAACACCAGCAGTGGAGAGGGCAAGACTGAAAAGAACAGAAGTTTATGGCCAGCCTGGGCTACATAGTGAATTTTGATGTCAACCTGGGGTATATAGGGCCTTTGTTTCAAAAAGCAAACAAAACAAATAGAAAACACACACACACACACACACACACACACACACACACACACTTAGTGGCATGTTGTTTGCAAGGATGATTTCAATCAATAGTTAACTGTGATGAATTTATACAGCAAAATAATACTTAAACTTAATTTCATCTCTTTACTACTTCCTGGCTTAGTAACAGAGAAAGTGTATAATATATATTTTTAATTTCTTATTTTTGAGAAAGAGTCTCTCTGGATGTCCTGGAACTCACTATTTAGCCCAAGCTAGCTTCAGATTCAAAGAGATCCACCTGCCTCTGCCTCTTGAGTGCTGGGATTAAATACATGTGCCACACCATACCCAGTTTGTACAATTTATGTTTAGAAGAAAGTCTAGGGAATGAATCATAGCAAAGAAATTTCATTTTTCTGGATAGTATATTGTAACCCAAATGTATCATTTTATGTTGGATATTTCATTGTAGGAATGAAAATCCAAACAAGGCGTATTTCCTGCAGGATTCTTCAATTCTGAAATGGTGGACTGAGTATTCTTTGGACAAGCTTTCTAACTGGAAAGGACAGGATAGGACAGAATTTGAAACCCTTGGACTCTACAAGGGCTTTTTATAACAGTTTCTGCTCTGTTTAAAAATGTCTCTTATAGATACAAGATATGGTTGCAGGTAGATTCTTTGCATACAGATTTTTGTGACTATTCTTCACACTGGAATCTTTAGTGTGAGATAATTTCATGCCATCAAGAATGACTTGCTAACAACAAACATGAGAACACTCATCTCTTTTCTGATTAACTTGATTGAAGGGCAATTAAGATACAGCATGCCAGGTGTGCTGGTGGCACTACTCTGCATTCCCAGCCCTAGGAAGGCGAGGCAGGAAAGTCTATTCTGAGTTTCTGGCTAGTCTGGGTTGCATGAAGTGAGTCTACCTCAAGATACAAAAGCCAAAAAACAAAATAAAAAAAGATACAGAACAGAAGTCTTGAGGTTTGATTGCTCAGCTAAAGCCTTTCTTTGGTATCAGCATGAGAAGAGTTGAAAAGAAAAATTGGTATAATACCCATCTCAATGTAAATAGGCTTTTATCTGTACTACAGATGTGGGAATAAGGCTGGATCTTATGTAACATTCATTCATTTAGCAAATAATCCCTCAAGAATAAGCACTACTACAGAAATCCACAAAGATACCCCCACAACAGACTGCTGGCAATGGTCGAGAGACAGCCCGAACTGACCTACTCTGGTGATGGGATGGCCAAACACCCTAATAGTCATGCCAGAAACCCCATCCAAGGACTAAGGGATCTGGATGCAGAGATCCATGGCTAGGCCCTGGGTGGAACTCCAGGAGTCTAATTAGCGAGAAAGAAGAGGGTTTATATGAGCAAGAATTGTTGAAACCAAG